GAAGGAAGTTTTTAGACGAGCATTCCAAACCTCGCTTCCTTTAATGGCCTCTCTTTAAAGGAACACTTAACTTGATAAATTTATATTTTAATACCACACCCACCCCCATGACAGGTTATTTAGTGGTATCAAACTTGAAACAACGCTTTTGCAGATATACTCTGTATATTTTTTTCCAGATAGACAGGAGACTGGTGGCTCTTTTCACCATCTGTTTCACTTGCATTTTCTCCTGTACTAATCCAGTGCTGAAATGGTTGGTTTGCCAAAGCTGTGCAGGAATAATTTGATCTATAAATGGTTTCCACTGGAATAAAAAAGCTAAGACTAGAAATACTTCGCTGATACTCTGTCTGGCTTAACTGTTATTGTGGTAGGAACCTTAGAAAAGCATGAAAATAGCTCAGTTTCAATAAGGCGTTTTGAGCTCCCTCAATTTGCAAGGTTGGCCCAAGAGAGGTTAGAGTCTAAAATCAATAAAAGAAGCGGATTTGCTGCCAGCACCCGGGGAAACTTTAACAATTTGCTCCGAGTGCTGCTCTCGCCTTAAAACCATCGGCACAAGGGGCTGGCTCCGGCGGAGGCCGAGGAGCGGGGTTGGCTCGAGCTCTCCGGGAGTTTCCACAGTATTTCGGTACCTTCTCCTTCCTCCTGGAGCTCAGCCCTGTCTCGCGTTGGTCCCGCGCTCCGTGCGGACGCTCCGTGCCGGCTCGGAGCGCCGCTCCGGGCGGATGGCGGCGCCGGACGTGCGACGGCGCTTGCGCACGCACGTGACGGGCTGGCTCTGTCCCCTCTCCTCCCTTCCCCTCCTCACTTGAAGGTGATGCCCTTCTTGATGCTGGCGAATCTATGAAGCGGTTGGCTGAAGTGAAGGACTCGCTGGATATTGAAGTCAAACAAAATTTTATTGATCCCCTCCAGAACCTGTGTGACAAAGACCTGAAAGAAATCCAGGTAAAACCTGAGATTTTTTTTCCTCTTCCTTCATTTCTTAACATTCTCTCCATGCATGCAATCCCTTGCTCCGTCACAGTGGGAATCCAGGCACACCGGCATCTGCTCCCCTGCACTTTGTGGACTTGCTCTATCAGATTCACTAGAATTTCCCCCTCTCCACGTGCTCAGCATCACTGCTCCTGCTCTTGAGCAGCTCACAAGGCTGCATGTGGGTTTGGATGTAGGAACTTCGTTTACCTGGGTCGATTTATGAAGGCCGTTTTGCTATAAGTCCTGACATACGTTCTGGGATCCCCGAGTTTGATTCTCCTGTTCCATTCAGGGCTGCTGTGGGTTAAACTTCCCCGTGAGCTTCCCTTGTGCCCTGAGCTTGTCACCTTCCTCTCCCCAGCACCATCTCAAGAAGCTGGAAGGCCGACGCTTGGACTTTGACTACAAGAAGAAACGCCAGGGCAAGATCCCCGATGAGGAACTTCGACAGGCCATGGAGAAGTTTGAAGAGTCCAAGGAAGTAGCTGAGACCAGCATGCACAACCTCCTAGAAACTGATGTGAGTGCTCAGAGGGAGCCCAGCCTCACCCTCTGGGTGCTGTGGGGCAACAGGGCCTGTTTCCAGTACGTGGAGGTGGGATCTCTTGAGGGACAGGAGACTTAAGGACACTGAATTCCACTTTTGCCCTTGGTGATGTAATTTTGGTCTCTGATCATGCAGATCTGAGCACACAGGGTGGTGTCACAGGCCTTTTTCCTCTCTCCAGCCCCTTCCTCCTGATGCAGCCCGTGGCAGGGCAGAGGCTCTAGCTGTGCCGAGCGGGTCTCCTCTTGGCGTGTGTTTTAGGGGGAACAAGTTTGGGCAGCTCCCATGGGAAGGGTTTGAACAGCTCGGGAAGCCCCGAGGGTGGCAGG